GGCGAAGTCCAGACAACACCAAATCGCGGATTCCAGGTTAAACAGATGTTTTGGACTGCATTTTCTGGGTCACTTCGTCGAAGTGCGTTAATAGCCCTATACGGAGACCTAGAATCTCCTCGTCAAGGCGTTAATCGCTTTATAATTCTTGATTTATATCAACGAATCCTACCTACTTTGCTTATCGACCCAGCTTCAATCTTTGAACAAGATAATACTCCAACTCATACGGCTCAGATTGTACGCGAATTCGTCACAGATCTAGGCCGTGAGATTATGATTTGGCCGCCTTGTTCACCAGATCTTAATCCGATTGAGAACCTCTGGACCTTACTTAAACAAAAGATCTATGAGATTCGGCCTGATTTACTACATATGCCAAATAACGATACAACCCTAGCTATTTTGATTGATACAGCGAAGGAAGCGTGGCAGCAAATTGATCTTAGTGTACTAGAGAGCCTATCAGAGAGTATGCCACGTAGGGTACAGGCAATTATTGCATCTGATGGCTGTTATACTAAATATTAGTTAGTTGTTAAATTAATCTGATTATTTTTTGGAGGTTTAGTACGTCAGAATTATCGGCAGAATAAGAGCGGTCAGCTAAGGGGTCACAGACTTTTGCGGCGCCACTGTAAGAGCCTGATAAAGTAGCCTGACCACCCTCAATTATTGAAAGGATAACGTAGTTCACGGTTAAACCGGACACACGGTTAATCCGGACACCCAACCAAAAACGCGTCGCTATCTCTATACCCCCAACTACTACCAGCAACCATGCCACCAAAACGCACTGAATCTTGGCAAAAAGCGGCCAGCCAAGAGGGGAAGATCCTACTAGCGCTTAAGGATCTTAAGCAGGGCAATATCAAATCTCTACGCGCAGCAGCGAGGTTATACAATATACCGCTCTCTACGCTACATGACCGGGCCGAAGGCGTTTCCTCGCGCGTGGATACGCGCCACCATCGATGCAAATTGACTGAAGTTGAAGAGGATTCGCTTGTTGAATGGATATTATCTATGGATCTACGTGGAGCAGCGCCTAGGCCCTCTACTGTGAGAGAAATGGCTAATATCCTACTGGCTGCGTGCGGGACTCAGCCTCCGCCTACTGTAGGCGTGAATTGGACGTCAACCTTGGTCAATCGCCGCGATGAGCTCCGCTCGCGCTTTTCGAGACGCTACGACTACCAGCGCGCCCTAATCGAAGACCCGAAATCGCTACGAGCGTGGTTTGCGACCGTATAGCGCGTTATAGATGAGAACGGTATACAAACGGAGGATATCTACAACTTTGATGAGACAGGATTTGCAATGGGCCTTATTTCAGCGCAGAAAGTGGTTACGCGAGCAGAATACTACGGTCGGCGATCTATTCTACAGCCAGGAAATCGCGAATGGGTTACTGCTGTCGAAGCAATCTGCGCAGATGGCTATTCGCTACCGCCATGCGTGATCTTCGAAGGCAAAGTTGCCATTGCGGGTTGGTTTGATAACCTACCAAAAGACTGGCGGTTTGAGGTCTCGAATAACGGCTGGACTACCGATGAGATTAGCCTTCGCTGGCTACAAAAGCACTTTATCCCACACACGAATTCGCGCGTACGAGGCCGGTTTCAGCTATTGATTCTTGACGGCCATGGAAGCCATCTTAGACCCCAATTTAACCGGATCTGCGCAGAAAACAATATCATTCCTCTTTGTATGCCTTCGCATTCATCGCACCTACTACAACCGCTTGATGTTGGGTGCTTTGCAGTGCTTAACCGCGCGTACGGTCGCTTTATAAGCGATCTTGCGCGTAGAGGATATAACCATATCGACAAGTTCGATTTCTTGGATGACTACCAACGCGCGCGGCTAGAGGCCCTCCAGCGGCTAGCTATTATTCAAAATAGCTTCACAGCTAGCGGCCTAGTGCTAGTCGATGCAGAAAGAGTGCTTTCGAAGCTTAGTATCTCTCTACGAACGCCTACACCACTAAGCAGCCGGCCAACCAGCAGATCTAGCCAATTCATACTAAAAACACCCAGGACCGTGATTCAGCTACAGAAGTAAGCTTCGATGCTTAAAGACCTACTAAAGCAGCTGTCGAATAGCCCACTGAGCCTATCAAAAACCATGCTAAACCAGATTATCAAGGGCCACTGTATAGCGCTACACAACTCCGCGCTACTAGCGCAAGAAGTCACGAATCTACGCGCAGCGAATGAGAAGATAGTAAAGAAGCGTACTCGACCGACTAAGCATATCCCCTGCGAAGAGGGTTTAAACCGTCGAAGAGGGCCAACAGCTAGTTACACAGCTTGATTTACCAGCAGAAGCACCTGCGGTAGATTCCCATGCGCAGGGCGAATTGCCTATTCAGGCAGACCAACCAGTGAAGAGGGCTCCGCCTAGGTGTAGTGGGTGCAGGGAGATTGGCCACAGGATCAATTCATGTAAAAATCGCTTATTCAGCTGAATCAATAGGTGTTGGTTGAGATATCCTGCTTCAAAAGTTCGTAATGGGGGTGGGTGTACAGCTCGCTTGTGTGTACAGCCCGCTTGTGGATTACGTTAACGTAGTTCCCGGCCGTCCGGAACACCACCTCTCCAAAATCGCATCTTTCTTCCTATTCACCCACTCCAACCACCTACGATGCCACCAAAACGCTCTGGTTCCTGGCTAAAATCTGCCGATCAAGAGGGCAAGATCTTACTAGCCCTTGATGATATTCAAAATGGTCGTGTTGGATCTATGCGCGCAGCTGCGAAGCTATACAACATACCGATTACCACACTACATGCGCGAAGAGATGGTCGAACCTCACGCGTTGATTCGCGTCCTACCGGCCATAAATTGACTCAATACGAAGAGGATTCGCTTGTTAATTGGATTATCTCTATGGATACACGCGGAGCAGCGCCTAGGCCCTCTACTGTGAGAGAAATGGCTAATATCCTACTGGCTGCGTGCGGGACTCAGCCTCCGCCTACTGTAGGCGTGAATTGGACGTCAACCTTGGTCAATCGCCGCGATGAGCTCCGCTCGCGCTTTTCGAGACGCTACGACTACCAGCGCGCACTAAACGAAGACCCAAAATCGCTACGAGCGTGGTTCGCGTCCGTACAACGCGTGATCGATGAGAACGGTATTCAACCAGAGGATATCTACAACTTTGATGAGACAGGATTTGCAATGGGTCTTATTTCAACACAGAAGATAGTTACGCGAGCTGAATACTACGGTCGGCGATCAGTATTACAGCCTGGAAATCGCGAATGGGTTACTATAATCGAAGCAATATGCGCCGATGGTTATTCCCTACCGCCATGTGTGATTTTTAAAGGCAAGGTTGCAATCGCTCGTTGGTTTAATAATCTACCACAAGATTGGCGATTTGAGGTCTCAAATAATGGCTGGACTACTTATGAGATTGGCCTACGTTGGCTACAAAAGCTTTTTATCCCTTCAACAAATTCGCGCGTCCGAGGAAGATTTCGACTCCTAATCCTTGATGGCCACGGTAGCCATCTTACGCCTCAATTCGATCGAATCTGCGCCGAAATTAATATTATACCACTATGTATGCCAGCGCATTCATCGTATCTATTACAGCTACTAGATGTTGGCTGTTTTGCAGTATTGAAACGCTCGTACGTGTGAAGGGCTGTGGCAGAATTGATTCAATTGTACTAGGCCAACATGCTGTTTACAACAATCTTAAGGAAAGAAGGAAGAAGGGGTAGGAGTCGGTCGCAGTCCTTAAGAGCGTCCTCGGGTAGGACCCACTAGAACCTCGCTCGGACCCCCTTCTGCTAAGGCGGTATCCGGAAAGCCATGGTATATGGTTAACCACCGGGCTCTGGCCCGTTACAGTACGGTCGCTTTATAAGTGATCTTGCGTGTAGGGGCTATAATCATATCGACAAGTTTGATTTCCTACATAACTACCAACGCGCACGCCAAGAAGCCTACCAATCAAGTACTATTCAAAATAGCTTCGCAGCTAGCGGACTAGTACCAATCGACGCAGAAAGAGTACTTTCGAAGCTTAATATCTCTCTACGAACGCCTACACTACCAACTAGCCGACCAAGCAGCAGCTCTAGCCAATTTACACCAAAAACACCTAGGACAGTGATTCAGCTACAAAAGTAAGCATCGATGCTTAAAGATCTACTCAAACAGCGGTCGAATAGCCCTCCGAGTCCATCGAAGACGATACTTGATCAGATTATCAAGGGCCACTGTATAGCGCTACACAACACCGCGCTATTAGCGCAAGAAAACGCCGATCTACGCGCTGCGAATGAGAAGATTATCAAGAAGCGCAAACGTTCAACTAGGCAGATACCCTGCGACCAAGGTTTAACCGTTCAAGAGGGCCTACAGCTAGTACAGCAGGCGAATCAGCTGGTTGAAGTAGGTGATGTGGTATCGCATACGCAGGGCGAGTTGCCTAATCAGGCAGACCAGTCGGCTACCAGGGCTCCGCGTAGGTGTAGTGGGTGCAGGGAGATTGGCCATAGGATCAATTCATGTAAAAATCGCTATATATAGTCAAATTAATAGGCGTTGGTTGAGGTAATCGATATTCAAATTCTCTACTAGAAGAGGGTGCTCCGGTCGGCCGGGAACTACGTTACCAGGGGCGGCTTACTAATTAGCTAATATTCCACTCTCTTCTGGGATGCTGCTTTTCCTCTTCCCTGATATTGGTACAGAGGAAATCTATCACCGCGTTGGAAATTGGTGAACATACAAATAGATCGTCGCGCATAAACCTAGGTATAAAACGCTAATTTGATAAAGAATGAATAAATACACCCAGCACAAATCCACTCAGCTATTGCTTGTCCCATGTTATGTATATTGTATTTAGGTCAATTCAGGATAATTGTGGCGGTTATTGGATGCATGCGCGATAGTACGGTTAACCCAAAGTCGGATCATGAATTGTGTCTCTTATATTCTTATTCGAATGGCATTGAGATTTAACAGTGCTAAGTCAGAGGGCATTGAATTGCTCCAGCTCCAGCCCCTCAAGAAAACCATCTAGGGCCCCGAATGTGGATGCGAAGGAGGATCCAGGGCAGCTGTGTTTGTTTATACATTTTGAGGGTGAATCATACCATTCGAGTGATCGGAAGTTTGTCATTTTCTGTACGAGAGACCTGTAACTGACGTTCGGGAAAGGGAACTCGCGATGCGGCAGAAGTAGATCCTTTGACTGGATGGTCAAAGCACCGTACATAATTGAGCGACATTCGAGGCGACAGCCGCGCGCGCCGAGTAGATACTGTCTGCGTGTATAATCGATAAGGTCTATCAACCTCTCGATAGCCTCCTCTCTGCGTCTATTGATCGAAACTATAATAACATTAGTCTTTCAGCTAACAGAATGACGTATATGCGCTCACCTATGACATCCTCCGGAATTGACAGTCCCAAATTATCAATAAAACCATCGCTCTGCGAGCTAGCGATCGATGTGGATAACTTGAATTGGGTAGGGAGTTGGATAACCCAAGAGACCCACAACCATAAAATCAAATCCCTCGAAGCTACCGACGGAGTCTCCTCTTCCATTTTCTCGATCCACAGCTCCGCCAGAAAGTCCAGTGCTTCCCGGCATTCGTAATAGTCTGCAATAGCAGCAATCTTCGCAAGCATCTCCAGGGTCAGTTTTCACGGTATGTGAGAGTGTTGACCGTGAATGGCTTGAAGTACTATCATGAGCGCTTCAACATCCCAGCTTTCCGCGGTAATCTCAACTGAACCCTTCTGGAAGTATGCAACGCTTTCTTTCCAGCCTCCAGTAAGCAGCCTCTTGAAGAATGGAGAGGCAAACATCAAATGTTTCGCAGAGACTTGAATACGCGAGCAATTTTGACCCAAATGGCCTTCGGCAACAGACTCTTCAGCAACGGTAGCCTCGATAGTGGGGCTCTTCAGCAACGATAGCCTCGACAGCGGGATCTTCAGGTTCAGCAGTGGTAGCCTCGACAATGGGATCTTCAGTTTCAGCAGCGGTAGCCTCGACGGTGGGCTCTTCAGCAGCGAAACCTTCAGCAAAAGGCTTTTGTTTTTTTTGCCTTCCTCTTCTCATTCTTATGCTTATTCTTGGTCTGCACCTCGGGACTCGGCTCTAACGGTTTGTAATAGAATATTGGAATTCCAGTCGACCCCTGAGAACTCACGGATTTGCTAGACGATGTTTGAGAGGATTCAAGCCATTGATGGATCCATGTATCTCGCGTCGGTTTGGCAAAGGGACTGTTCGCATTGCGCAGTGTTATGATGACTTCACCTTCTGGATCTATAATATGAGATAACGAATTCATGGTGGTGTAGAGAATGTCTTTGAATATACAGCAGACATCGATGAAAATACTTGAAGAGAGACGATGAAGTATATTTGTAATCCATTGTCCCTGGGCCAAGACATAAGGATGAGGCATAAGCGGATCGGGCACCGTTCGGGCGCTAATAATCTACTGTCACGGCGCAGGCCACATGGTGATGGGACACGATTCACGGTCGAATCTACCCCGCGTGCACCATGTGGAGATGTGGGAACTCGGTACGCGGGATCTTAATGCATATACTATGGGAGCTTGTGGAGTCTCTACCCAGACTCCAAGATTCAGCCTTTGGAAACCAGACAGACCCTATAGACTTGGTTGGACTCTTTGCCTAGCCAACAGGTTATGTGACCTGCGATACAGACCCCGTAACATTTACTTTCCATCGGGACTCCCAATTTACAACGTTGCCTAGTTTTACGGTGTTTTTCCGGTTTGTAGCATTCACTGCATTTATTATACTCCCATTTCCCCTGACAGGAGCACATTATACAGTATATGCATGCACTCTTTTATAAAATCGACGAGCTTATTGTGTGAGAACTGTGACATTTGAGAAAAGAAGGTGAGCGGGGAAGCACTACTGTACAGTTGAACTTCCCGAACTGATACATCATTACAGTACCATTGAAAAACGTTCTCGTAGCTGGACATTTTCTTTACGAAACCAGTTCTGCCAGGCTCACAGAGCGGTAACCCTCAATAGCATTAGCGTATTCCGGAAGTGATTTTCCGGGATCACCTCTCTCGAGTTCAGGTCAAACCGATTTCGAAGATATCCGGAATTGATGTCGTGAAGAGGACTGGCAGAGGAAGGTTATGGTTTTCTGCACCAACCAGCAACAAATGAGTATACCTCCATCTTGGAAGGGCAATCAGACTTTCTACAGCTTAGTCCCCAGGGGTAATGACGTATGCCTTCTCGTCTAGCACGTTTGTCTCGAAAACGGCAACCTGTCAAGAATCACCGATTAATACGTCGTGAAGTGGCAGTATACTCGTATGCTCGTTGTCTTCTACGGAAATGAGCAACCGAACTCAAATGGTCTTGAACATATTTACCGCTGTTTTTCTCCCTTTTCTTGTACCTAGCTCGCTCTACTGAACGGAAGGTATTACCACTACCTCTACATTTGTGCTTTGAAAAATGGCTCGCTTAGGCTATAATTGGTGACTTGGTGTCATGGCCTAAATCTATATATCACGAAACAAGATAGGGAGAAAGAAGGGTTATCGAGACGAAATTGGTTAGTTCAAGCAGCAGTCTACTGCTGATTGCTTCCGTGAAACGAAGAGATCATTCGATGTTGGTCAGGCGTATCTGAGGCTTGCGATCTGCAGCCAAAGCTGATGGGAACCCAGTTATTGGTCTCAAGGCCCTGTCTCTTTATGTCATGGCTCGCTGGAATCGACAACTGCATTTATTTCTAACAAGCCTGTATTCGATTTGAACACCATGAATAAAATCTTTGAAGTTCTCTCAGAATATAGTAAAATCCGTAATCGCTAGTGTGACGATGTTGGCTTTCTATCATAGAGCTTTCAATAGCTTTCAATTCCATTTTCGAATTGCCTTGTAATGATTATAAAGTGCCAGAATAAATCGGATATCCGAATATTGTACGAACAAAACGTACAGTGCTATATCGCTCCAAGACCCCCACAAGCGAAGGTGAAATACTTCGACTTGCCACTTAGTATCACGTTCCCTCTGCCCTATAAGCAGACCCGCAAGGGGCAAAGGCTACCCACCGGGGTAGTCAGGCTCCCGGGCGAGAAATTTTACCAACTGCACAATGTATCAACTACTGCGTTGCAGTTGGGTAGTTCTAAGTAATAAGACACAGTTAGTGTGTCATAGTGGACTCGTAACGTAAATCATAAATATTCCTCGAAAGGCGGTTTGGTTTCAACTCTTACATATGCTTTAAATCTGCCTCGTGAAGTATGATGTCTGGCCTGTTCAAGGTCGAACTGAATCCCAATAGTAGTTGCGATTGATCAATCCCCGCCCTTCGTCTTTGAAAAGGCTTAGCAATAATCCATGATGTAACCTTACCGGTCAGACGACAGACACAATTGCAGGCAGTATGCGAACATGACATGGTAGCTTTTCTATGGTGCGTAACTCATGTAGAATGAGACTGCGGTGGATATGGAATAAACAGACCTCCAGGCTCTATGCGCGTGTAGAAGCGTGTAGAAGCAGACAATACGAAAGAATTCTCCGCGAGGTCTTTATTCGATTACATTCTTGCGTGAATAATTTCGATTTCAAGCATGCAAAGAAAATCTTTCTGATATTCAGGTCTTCTAAGAAGTCGTCTATTCTGTTGGTGTGACTGCGCATGTGGCGCCTTCCGAACCAGAGCACCGTTTCAATTCGGCGAAGAAAGCAATCACGTACGTTTTGCTGGACGAGAATCTCGGTACACTATCTATTCTGCATGTCTCGCTTTATTACTATCACGAAAATTGCAAATTCACAGCGCTTTTTTGGCACTGCGAAGAATCTTTGAAACGAGGGCGTCCAAGTTTGAAGCAAGCGTCGTCAGTTCTGTAAATTCAATCATCAAGATATATTGCCAGGACACTAGGCAAAAACCCTTCACTTTCACAATTTACCAGGTTCAAAATCACCATTCCAGAATGAAAGCAAACAGTTTCTATGTAATGTTGATTCTTCTCGCACGGTCGGTTCGGGGATCTCCAGCCGTTCGGCCTCCGCAAGGATCATTATCCATTCACAACCATTGTGGATTTCTATTTTACTATGTGCTGACTGCATATGAGAATACCCCCGTGAACTGGGTGAACCCCGAAGAAGTTGTGGCTGTGAATTTTGAAAACAAGACGGACGGGGGTGGTGTTTCTTTCAAGATTGCCAAGACTGAAACTGATCTACAGAGTTGTACTGATCCAAAACAAGGTTGTATTCATCAATTACAGGCGGAGTTCACTCTCAGTGGTTGCGAGATTCGGAACAGTGCCAGGTGCAGGCTTTGGTATGATTTGTCTAGAGTCAACGATCCAAATGGACAGTTCGTTGGCATCGAGTACTCCCTGGCTCCCAGAGTTTCGACCTGCCACGAGCTCGTGTGTCTAGCCGGAGATAACCGGTGCAAAAACGAATATATCTTACCTAACGACGATTACGCTACGACATGCTGTGATTTTGGCGTTGGTGCCAGGGTCGAAATTGACCTTCACCTTTGTCCAGTTCCTAAATCATCTACAGCCCCCTAGGTTTCATTGCAATGTTCAGCGCTAAATATCTTTGATCACAGTTTTCGAGAACCTTCCTTATCGATACCGTAGCCACGGCGAGAATTTTCACTATTACAAAGTCGATCAAGGTAATGGCAAGGTATGCATTTGTTCGTAAGCTAAAAAGTGGAGGCGGAAGAGAATGAAGGAGCCCAGCCAGCCTCCGTGCTCGAGAAATCAATCTGTGGGTCTCATGTCTGCACTGAGAAAATACCCTCCAGCAACACTAGTACGTACGGAATACCATGTCTTCCTGGAGCAATGCAATCTCGGATCTTTGCGCCCATGGGTTTTCTTTCATGTTCCGGTCGAGTAAAGAGTTAGCCTAAATCACTGATACCCCCCTCATTACTAGTAACCTTGACATGTTCTCGGCCCCCTCAAAATCTACCAAACTTCCACTGCTGTGCTATTAATCGCTCGGCCTTCCATATGTAAGCCATTACTGCGCGCGGAATATCCAAGAAGAAGAGCGGGTGACGTATGAATCAGACGATATATTCTAGCTAGTGGCCATGGAGGGGGTTGCTGGAAGCTCAGCTGGGACTGCACTTCGAATGGAGTGCTGTACGGAAGCACATTGCGACCGTATGCAGATGCCGTACCGGGGATACTGGACAGGATTCAGCTCGTGTCGAAGATGATATGACCGCGAGCGACGTTTTTTGCAATTGACACAATATAAATCACACTGGGAATATTCTTGCTCAACATATGGTGGAGGCTTCGATATTTGATCGAGGTCGCAGAATTCTGCATCCATAGTTTGAGCAGATTTTGTCATCTTCGCCAAGCTAGCGAAATCGTAAACTAAGCTGGACTGCGACTCGGCGAATAGGACCATCATGGTATCAGTGCTCGAAACTAATTCACGTACTTATCTGTTAATCGGATCCAAACACCTCTTATGTGGCGCATCTTGTGGCCGCGGGCTACAGGTGATACACACCCTAGATACGACAGCATGTGCTGATTTTCTAGGGTATTTATACTTCATATGGTCTTTTTGATAGTTGATCTGGTATAGGGCTACGTTTAGATCATAGTCCAGAAAATACCCAGTCACTTTACGTCTCTAGGCGTAATTGTAAACAAATTGTGACATACAGTTCGTTAACATTAGTTCTCACCGGTGGGGCGGTGTATATCATATCAGGGCTTGGAATCCTACCTGCGCTTCATTTTGAGGGCAGTCGGATGTTCCGGTCCTCGCGCCATATGCAGGGCCAGATCCTCGCACCCTAGGAAAGCATTATGGAAGCGATCATAAAAGAAGGATTGTCATCCGAGAGTTGATATTCACCGAACACACGAACGGATAACATTACAAGTGACTCTGTATAGCACAGACTCTTCACGAGAAGCGTCCATGAATCCAAGAATCATCCTTCTTTCGTCATCTGACTGACGTAGTCACTGAGTGCAATTGAAAGCTCTGCAGGCTCGCAGGTCGTGAAGTAGTCTTAATCATGGCCTAAGTTTCTGCTATTCTCGGTTCTTCGGAAACCAAGGATTCATATATCCGAGCATCCAATACCATTCGTGAGTATGAGGTTATATCAGCTAATATCGGGTCGCGTTTAGTCTTGAATATGAATCGTAGGTCATAGGTCAGAACCTAAGCAGTGGGCTTTAACCAGACAGATTTCATTCCGTGGATGTAGAACCCTTTAATTATATTACAGAGAGTGAAGCATTCACTGACTACATGGCTAACGTATATATGAAGTGCCGAAACGAGGCGGTGTGCCGGAACTTCATATAGATACCTTTATCACAGCGGGAGACAATTCAGCAAGTAACAATATCAACATTCCTTATACTGATAGACCATGGATAATGATCTACCTCTCCAATTGAGTCGTATGTACTTCAAACTTAGTGATACAGCAATTCGATCAGAGGCGACCGTACGAACAAACAGTAAACAGAGTCGAATCTGACATTGCGGAACTATAATAATTTCTCGCTCGAGCCCCACAGGGGTCCAGAATGTCTGATTTTAAGAATGAAGATAATTTCAGATCAATGCTATTGAGTCAAGTCCTTATATTGATGGTCCTAATATTGATGTTTCCCTATCATGCTGGGTGAGAGCTTTGCCTCTGAACTTTGGTCCGTGGTTATTACAAGAGATTTTCAGAAGATGTCACATCAAATAATGTAATGTTAGAAATTTGGCGCCTCTCGGTCAACCATGGCTCGGGCATCATGGAATCCCCTTCCACCCCATGTGTTCCTTGAGTTTCTTTCAACTCCAGTGCCCTAATTTGAATTAGATTCTGCGATATGGCGCCAGCTAAACTTTACCTTGATCGCTTGGCCGTGTTGGTGGATAGAGCTCTGCACTGGCGGAAGCCCATGACCTCGTTCGGGTGTACGCTCATCTGACCAATCAATAAAAATGGTCAAAATTATTTTCCGTATAGTATTGATACCATAGAGCCCAGAAAATTTGTTCGACAGACTCGGGTTTGAGATATAGACGATCCTCCTTACGCTATTTTCGGAGACCCTCAACAGAGAGTAACCGTGCGATGGAATTTGCCTTGCACTTTTGACTCACGCTAGCGAGGAAATCATCGTGCGAGACTTGAGGATCTTCGTAAATCTTCGGGAGCACGTTTTGGCGGGCATTATAGTTCAAGACCTTTAGGCGTCTAGCTCGATTCGAAGACTGTTCTTTATTGCGAATTCGCGATTCGAGGCAGGTATACCTGATAGTCGACAGTGGTATATCGGGGTATTTCTTATGAATTTGACCATAGGACCACTTTCCTACCACTTTTAACGCGACGATTTGGAAACGCAGATTCACATCTAACTGGTGAACTCTGTGCCTTGGCGGTGCGCTAGAAGGAGAAGTCACTGGCCTAGAGACAGTGAAGAGGGTTCGCTGGATATGAAGACCTTGAGTATTGGCTCCGCAAGCTTTAACATTTCCCTGATCACTTGACTTCTTCGTTGTTGACATGGTGGCTAGCGTATTAGGGGTAGAGTGGGGGGGGGGGGGGGGGAGTCTGTAACTGTGAAGTCGTTGACGGTGTAGGGTTTGAAGCGATAGGCGGAACTACCACTTGGGCATGTCATTCACAGAAGGAAAAAAGCAGAGCTGAACTAAGCAAAGTTTGGGAAGTTTGTAACGCATATGTAAAATACCGAAATGAAGCGGCGTGCCGGATTTTTCTAGATACTTTTGTTCAAGCTGAGGCTTATCTCTGAAATGTTATGATTGCGGTATACCCCAATGATCGGGAATGATAATCTGTCGTTCAAACTGGGCGATATCGACTTTCAAAACAGGTCCATTACAGGTGTTTGACTGCGCGAACAGACGTCGATCATGATGAAATATAAACCGGCGAAAAATGGCATACTTCTCCATTTCGGGACCTGATAGCTACGTTCATGCTATTTATGGAAACATTGGCAGGATTGTATGGCTGATACTACCAATGACTAGGTCAAAGATCTAGTGAACAAGGCGCAGCCACTAACGCCCCCCAAAGCCCCGCGGGTGATGGGTCGTAGTACTCATATTAGCTAGACCACTAATCCTCCTAGACTTTGACTATATTCATGGCAGCAAAGAACGGCCTTTCGGGAGGATCTTGATTTATTTTGACGAAAGACCCCAGCAAAATTCTGTAAACACTTAAGTCCTAGTACTGTGTCTCTCGTCCGCTGACAGTCAGCTCTTCGCGGATGCAGATTTAAGGGTACAAATGAAATTTCTTCCTATCGATCTTGATTTGGTTTTTTCATGCCGATGTGGCTGGAAGCTTAATATTGTCGCACCCCTCTACTATTGAGGTCCTTCGAATACCTGAATCTTCCGAGTGTATCATGAGCCAAGTTTTAAATACATAAGATGTATCATAGATTAAATCTGAGTGTAAAAAGGTGCCTCAAGGAATGAAATTCGGGGTTCTACTAATAAAAATTTCGCCACAGTATATATACGGTAGAAGGCAGGACGTCGCTGATCGGTTCTGCCGATGGAAGTCTGCCAATTTTCTTATTAACTCTGTTGGCTGTATTTGTTTCGTCAAAGACATGACCACTGGAATAGTCCGGTAGTTCGGGTGGGATGAATCTGGATGACAGACTATTCTTGGTTCCAGGCAAGTTGGAGTGCGGGCAGGTCCCATCTTGGATCGTCGAACATCTGAAACCCATTACATCTTGGACTAGACTGTCTTATTGCAAATGCTTCATAGAAGATGCTAAATACAGCAAGATCTGATAGACCATGCGCGGGCTGGGCCATCTGCCGAACATGATTAGGGAGTGAAGTTAAGTATAAGGCGTTGTCATTACCAGACTTTTGCTAATTCTGTCGAAACATCATTTGGGATTCGTTGTAATTTTGTGAATACAGCCCGAAAACCGTCTAACCAAATTCAAACACCTTCCTTGTCAATGCTTTGCAGGGCCCAGTCGCCTAGTTAGAAAGACGTGACTGTCTACCCAGCGTATTCTACTTTTCGTAAATGATTGACGGGAATTACATTATGAGCTTTCAGGTGGTAGGGAAGAATTCCGTGAGATTTGCAAGAGGTTAGGATTATCTATCAGTAGACTCCAATAGACTTCAATGTGCCTGCGATCAATAGCAAAGCAATTATCAATGTGTCACAAGTCATGTGTAATACTATTGACGCGATTATCTGTATATCGTACGTTGTGTTCAGGATGTCAAGTCATTCGATCTGACCGATATGATCTCTATCAGCAGAATAAACCGTGTGAGTTTCACGCAAAGCATGGACGGATATCGCTCTTGGTAGTCATTGATGGGTACTCGCAATGACGAGGACCTGAAAATGATTCTCTCAATGAGTGTATATCTTTCATGAACCAATCAGGTATATCAGAGAATGATCTTCGGTCTACTATCAACTTGTCGATAAGAAAAATCAGTCGAAAAACGACGATTAGCCAGAAAGATTCCTGCGAGCTTGATCGCGAACGCTTTCGCCACCGCTGAAACCGCCTTTTGATTTTAATTGGGTCCGTTAGAACCTTGCTAGATGACACCAAGTATGTCAACAATAACGAGTGCAGTTGTCTGAAATTCCATTCAATCACTTTCATACCCGGTTGGTAGCAGCTAAGCGTTTGCAGTCGCGGGTTGGTGGTCCGCGTTGCTGCCACCCAAGGCGTCATCCCGAGATTGAAGGGCCCTCCTTGAGCACCGACCGTCACGTTCTCCTGTAACACTGCATTCTGTTTCTCGCCGCATAATTGATTTATCGCCCAAAACGCGAAAAGAGCGACATCGCGAGGTGAGATTGAATCACAATTAGCGCCATATAATTTGATTTCGGCTTGGCCATGCCGAACTTTCATTACTCTCCGTCGCCCCCCTGTCTTGAGAAGATACTCTGAAGGCTTAGGTTCATCAAAGCTCACATTGATTGATGAAATATTACAAAGAGTCCGAGGGACCATTCGTGATAATTTATAAGGTTGGAACAGCACATGAAAATTGTTGAATTTCATTTACAGACCGAGAGAATAGCGTGCAAGTTTCGTTCGATTCCCGCTATAAACAATTTTCTGCCCTGCCAATCCAAGTGGGAAGCAGTGTAGTGACTTGCTCTGTACCTCACATATTACCTCAGACATTTCGGGATGACCGGCTCATTACACAAGAGAGAGTGAAAACGTGCAAATTTACTCATTTCCAACTCGATCTATTTCGGGCCCGGCGACTGTTTCGACTTTGGATAGGACGATGCAGGGTAGATTAAGTTGCGGCAATTAGGAAGGGTGAAACGCCTGCGTGTTGTACTTTCTCTCCGATATAGAGCGATCTAGCTGAAGCTCCAAAGTCAACGGAGAAATAGTTTTGACACGGCCGGCATCTTGCCGCTAAGTTCTAAATTTCATACACTGATACCCCATTCGCAGGGTCCGAGCGACCTCCGTTTTTTTCTTCGCCCACCTAGCGGCGGAGTGATGTAATTGATTGTTCACATGACCATTAGCTAACCACAAGACCTATGGCCATTATGAACGCGCCTCGCAGATGCCAAATCCCATTTCATCTGAACCATCTGGAGGTAGGTCCACGATAATTCTGATTCGGGGTTTTGACATATGATAAAGTGTCAGTTATTCGAAGAGCGTCTTTCATCTATTTCCTCCATCCCCAAACCTAAATAGAGCTCGTCAGGGTCCAATATAATTAGAAAGAGCGGTGGGAAAGTCCCAGTCGTATGCCTGAGGACAATTTTGAATGAAAAAAAAACTGCTATAGTGTAGTGGGAATGACAAAAAGAAACCAGCGAGGTTTTTCGACCCGACTTATGGAGCGCATCAGAAGTTGTCGGATTGGACGAGTTCAACGGTTAAACAATCCCGCCACACCCAGTTGTGTAGACCACTGAGACCGAGTCATTTCACGCTTGCTAGACTCGTCCTAAGGTAAAGCGTCTTTCAAAGGGGCCGAGGGAGTTGCCGTTATCACAGGCATGTGTATTTGACTCGGATTGTTTCATAAATACCGTCAGCCAAGTGAGACTGAAATTTATTACGAACCAGTGGGTATAAAGACATGACAGGTGCTTCGATGACAGTATCAACAGGCCTACCATTTGCTATAAGCTAGTTCATTGACAGCGTTCTTCTGTGGAAGACAGCTGGATGGTGGTGGTTTGGAGTTGGGAAACTGGAATTTTTGAGAGTCCGATTTCGCGACGGCACGGTAACCGTAGTATGGTACGAATATCCTGTGTCTTGAGTAAAGGCTACTCTATCAGTCAGCTATGTGTTTCTCAGTAAGAATTCTATCTAATAAACTAGTTGCTAGCATCCCTAGATATTCTCTACGGCAGGAAAACAGAAAGATGAAACGCAACCTGATTGGTAGGAGGAGGGAGAGAGGCTAGGCTAGCTAATGTGTGGGTTTGTGGGTCGGCTGTGAGACGGCAGAAGGCCGAATCAAATAAACAGCTTGAAACTAGACGACGAGATATATTAACGCTTGAAAATCGTAAATACGCGCCCTACTATAGATCCAGGCCATATGATATCACCAATCCCAATCACCGTCTGACTCTGAGTTGCTCGACTATGCATGAATGGCTTCACTGAGCTGCGAACTTTAAGGGCTCTTCTGTGGCTATTGCAGATCTCTAAATCCACCCGCGGGTCGTCTCTAAGGTCTCTTGTTGTTCATTTATTAAAATGCACTAGGTCATGTCGCATAGCTATATCGCATTTCTTGTCGCACGTCTGGAATTCTAGTGTAGCTTGGTCGTGATTTAACTCGTTGCCCTGAAATTCGATAAACAAATCCACAATGATAGGTCGAGACAATGACGAGACGGCATAACTCCATCAAGCCAAACGCTTGACTAGAGGACGTCGCCCCGTTTAGACAAGACCCCGATCAAAAAGCAAGCGTGTCTCAAGTCAGGTACTGGGATAAATCAGCATTGCCGCTGATTTCTCATCAACACTTTGATTGAAAATGTCGTCGGTTGAATGGATGATCCAGTCCTCTATGAGAAAAGGGGACGGATCGCTACCCGCTTTCTCCATGAAGTTGTCGATACAGTCAAATGGGGAGACATTTGATTCATGTACGCTGTTCCAAGTCGAGTGCGGAGTCTCCATGCCCGTGAAAAGGCTTAGGGGTGATTCAAGTTCATAAGCCCTGTTGAGGGGAGCTACCAAGATCTCCGTATTGATTTTTGCTGAAAAGCTAACTTGATATTCAGTCATGACCGCCTGTTTCGAGGAGTTCCTGGAACTGGGCTTGTGATGGAGCTTATAATCTGGGTAGGCCTCGGAGTGATTTCGGCGCTCGATCTCTGCCAGGCATTTGTAGGTGTATTGCGTTATAGGATCCATGCGCCATAATCCCCCGGCAACTTGGGATACCACGCTATTGTTGTGGACGTCGTGCCGACTCGCGAGGTATTCGACTATCGGGCAATAATAGGCGAAGCGGAAAAGTATGAACGCGTTCAAAGGTCGATTGGTTTTTCCACCACGACTCAGTGCTTCAGTCTGTCTGATACTCGGAGACTTATCCACGCGGGCGACCGCTTTTTCGTACGCCTGAGACCTATAGCGCTCGAGTATTTCACTGCGTAGAATCGGTAGATCAAAGACCAGACTTTGCTGAGGTTTGACTGTCCTCATATTGATTCCAGTCGCACATCCAGTCACACATAAAAGAAGCTGCGAGTGCTACCAGTAAATCTGGTATTATTTCGAGGGGACTCAGCAGAGTCAGTAGTAGAGTGAAGAGAAATAACTCGGTCGCGCCGACAATTCTGATGAGTATGAAAGTTCCTTTTGATAGAATTTTGTCGAAGACGTTGCGTGCCGAAGGTTTCCAGCATCTTCCGTGCCATCATCATTTGAATGAGAGTCATTAAATCCGGCCTTTTTCCCGTCCGCTGCAATAATCATTAGACTTGGTCAAATTGACGTCACCTAACGCACAGTCGTATATCGGAAGTAAGCCAGACTCCCGAGGGGGGTACATCGAATTTGTGCGGATTAGACGAACATACACATCGAACGTAGCAATATGTTTCATGAACTAGGCATCTTTCTCACGAGTGAAGATCAGTTATAGATGTACGTGCTTGGTTGCCGTCTAAAGTACCGTGATGTCTTCAATGACAAACTCCTCGCAGTTACTTCGTGTAGTTGGGCCAGAATCTGTACAGCGGGCAGAAATAACAACTCTGAGGTGACTATCCAGGAGGCTTGAAATTCCATATATATGATACTCACATATTGAAGCTGGAAAGCCTTCACATTATTCAAAGGTGACTAGAATTATGCGATTGAGATAAACGCTACAAACTTGAACCCTAGGTCATGAATCCAAAGATAGGCCGACCGACCGGACTGGGTAGGATTTGAATTTTGTTATGCCAGATTATAATGACTATTACCCAAGATTCTGAATAGTTCTCAAGTAATTTGACGCATATCTATTATAATCCAACGGTACTGATTCTCTAATTTAAATATTGCTTCCCTGTTCAATGTTAATGTCAAGAGCGGAATAGTCCACTGCTGGGGGGTAAGAAAGAACTATATTTTCAACGGCAAGGTTAATGCATGAGGTATAGACTATATCGTCAGAGATTCATTTGATCATTATGATTTGGATGATGCCGGACTTATACTATTTACTCTAGTTCGCCAGGCGAGTCCTAAAGGTGAAGTGGGACACGGCTTCGACGTTTGGCTAGAATATATATAAAAGAGAAATTAGGAGCTAAGGGATTCTCCTCCTACACCCACCTCGTCGTCGTCTCAAAACTTCTGCATTGTCAAGTTGATTTTTGATTTAGTCATTTTTCGACAGTGCGGCTTTGGCTGCGACCACGGTCAACACGTAAGTTACGGATTGATCGCGTGCCTATGCTTCGCTCGGCACGAGCTTTCAAGAACAGATATCAAGAAAAGCAGTCGCAGCAACCACCACCCAAGCACTACAACACCTCTGCTGAGCCCGAAAGCCGGCCCTACCATCATTTTACCCCCAGTGCCTGCCCTGGCAAACTACAATCTTTCGCCGGAGCATGGATTCCTGCCTCCAGAGCTGCCACTCGAGACCTTACCCGCCATGTACTATGCGAAGTGGGAAGCAATTGTGGCAGATCTGCAGCCGTTACTCCTCAGCAAGCGTATTCGATTAATGATTGATCGTCTTCCTCGTCTTTCCACGGATCATCTGCAGGCGGTTGCCGAGTGGCGTCGCGCATATGTGATATTGGTGTTCTTGCTCCATAGTTATATATGGGGTGGGGATCAGCCAACCGAGGTATGAGGGTTCGCGAATACGGCCTTTCAGCTCGAATCTCCTACTGAAGGACTGAGAAGGCATTGGCTGACACCGGATTCCTCTTTGATAGAGGATTTCGCCACAGCTAACGGTTCCGTTGTTTCAAGTCTGTGAGCGCCTGGAGGTGCCCCCCGTAGCGACCTACGCGGGAGTCTGTCTTTGGAACTACAAGCCAATCTGCGCCGATGAGCCTACCAATGGCCTAAATAGTCTTGCGTGCCTGCAGACATTCACCGGTTCTCTCGACGAACAGTTGTTTTATTTGGTGTCAGTGGCAATCGAAGCACAGGGCGCTCCAGCACTTCCCCTAATGCTCCAGGCGATTACGGCCGCTCGCGCCGGCGACACGTATCAGGTCACAGGCTATTTACAGCAAGTCGCAGAGATCATCAATAAGATCACCTTGCTCTTACAATGTTTGTATGAGAATTGCGATCCTCATTGATTTTATCGCCGTATTCGTCCCTACTTATCCGGCAGTAAGAATATGAGTGAGGCGGGCTTGCCCCGCGGTCTGCTGTACGATGACGGGACTAACCCCCTCAGTATCGCCAGTACGGTGGTGGGAGCAATGCGCAGAGCTCGCTGATCCAGTTCTTCGATATTGTCCTGGGCGTAGAACATCGTCCGACCGGAGTCACTTGCAACGAACAGAAGAAATCACGGTCTATTTCAGATACAGCAGAATTAGGCCCCGGATCTATACATGAAATGCGCGAATATGTGCCCGGGTCCCACCGTCGGTTCTTGCAGGATGTCGAAGCGGTTGCGAACATTCGCTCATATGTTCGCACTCGGCCCACGGATTTAGCTTTGCAATCTGCGTACGACGCCTGTCTGTTAGTGCTACGAAACATGCGCGACCGGCACATTCAGGTCGTTTCCCGCTACATTGTTGTCCAGTCCCGTATGAATCAACAAACCCCAGAACCCGATATGTATCCTACGGCAATGAATCTAGCTACTTTGGGTCCGAAAAATAGCAAAGGGCTCTTTGGCACAGGTGGAACGGCGCTTATTCCCTTTCTGAAACAACCCAGGGATGAGACAGGGGAGCCTGTTATCAATGCATGGGCGCGACGACTACCGAGTCAGCCCAGCTCACTTGGACCGGGATCGTTGAGTGAGGTCGAAGGGCAAGCAGGTGGTTATCTTCAAGTGGTTGATCTCTGCGGGACATGGACAGCTGGCGATAGCGAAGGTGGCATCTGCCGCCGGTGAGTTGTCAATCTGAACTGCCACTGTCATAACAAGTGGAGTGCGCATTACGCCTGTACAATAAACATATCTCTATCTTTCATGATGATGTGAGAGCATTGCATGAAACCAGCACACTGTTGCCTATGCGCCGCTAGATAGCGGACAAGAACCGATCTTGACGCCCGTGATGGGATGCAGCTACGGTAGGGGCAGCTGCACGATGTGTGAGAGGGATGAGGAGTGAGATTGCTACTGGGGAGAGATTCTATCTAGGCTATGGCTGCGGTGAGTCGGCAGTATCACATGCCACAAAACAGCCCGAAATCAATAAGCCTTGTCTTTCAGAGCCGACTATGCTGATTGCTTCCCCTGCGTGTGCTTGACACCACGTGAACGTTCACGCTCAAAGCCTCGCGAAAAGGTCACACTAGATGGATGATCAATAACTGGGGAATGAGGTACTTGGTCTTCACTGATCCAAGCAAACCAACTACGAATTCAGAATTCAATCCCTTAAGGCCTTCTTTCACTCCAAGGAATCCATCATCGTCATTTGCAAATCCAATTACTAGTAATTATATCTAAAGCAACAACAACACTGGCACCGTTTGGCGTGTTTTAGATAACATTATCGGAAATTCCCCGACGGATGTGAGCCCCCAATACTTTATCTACCATTTCAATGTGGTCAGTATTTGGATGCGCATGGCTTAAATAGTTCATCCCTTCTTTCCCTTATAGCTTAAGGGCGCGCCGTCTAGAAAGGGCTGGGCAGGGCAACGCTCAGTATAGCATTTCCCACAGTACCGCCAATATCAGTAACGTTGCTGCCGACCCAAAAACCGGTGCCATCGATAAAAACAATAAAAACACTGAAAACATCTCCCACCACCCCAGAACACCTGAGACCAGACCGGCGTTTCCGCCAATGACGCCATTGGTAGTCTGATCAGAAATCAGGGTCCTCGTGACGCCAGCGTCAAGCAGAACGGCTCTGGCAAGGCAGATCGTCGATCTTGTTGTGTGCGCTCGAATTCGGGGGGAAGACTCTCTTGTTGCTGCGTACAATCTTTTTTCTCTTTTACGCAGGTTTAGCGACTGCGTGATGATTCCCCATCTGACCTGCCTTTGGTACAGAGTTCTATATCAATAACGATACATTGCCGTATCTTCTTCCTCCACCCTACAGCTTTTGTTAACCAACACTAGGGACTGGTTCTCTATAACTTTGAGCTCCTACATCCCTATGTCAACATACATATTTCTAGTTACCCGTGAAACACTACAATATGCGTCTATCAATAGGTTCATGGAAGCTCGCTTTACAGCCACATGCCTGTCTATTTATTAGTATGTGTACCTTCCCAGCTGGAGCCTTATGTTCGTTTGCAACGAAACCGAAAAGTCTGGCCTTGACAGTGTTCAATCTTAGTACGAGGCTCCGAGCTGTAAATGTATTTACAATTAGATCAAATAAGCATGAGACGGACGGCAACGTTGGTAGTTAATGACAATGAAGAACGAGGGTATAAGCATACAAGGCAGACGTATCAATATAGACAGCAGGCTCAGTAAAATGTCATGGATGTAGATGCTAGGAAGAGGTCCTTGCCAGAGCGATTCCTGGTTTTCTTTCAAGTTCTCGCATTGGGAATAGCAGATACTCAGAATTATTCGTCCAACGGGCAAGGTAGTACGTCCCTCCTCCCTAAATGTGATTTCTCTAAAGCAATTTCAAACCATACTCAGCTGCTCCCTCATCCACCCCAGGCAATAAATGATATGACCTCACCTCATTTGACATGGTAAGATACACCGCCATAGCACAGTCCATCGACAGTAGGTAAAGCGGCTTGGAGGGGGCCAGTTACGCTGCGGAGCTACCCTAGTTAGGATTTACGGTAGAATCCCGAGTTCCGAGTTGTTCTAGTAGGTGTGGACGACTTTGTTAGCGTGTGGGTCATGAGAAGAAATTGCCCTGGCAGCTTCGGCTTGTTTTCGTCAGCGGGAAATGCACATGATGTCGAGGATATTATGTTCTATATTCTGTATGAACTTAACTCTATTCTTGTGCCCAGCTTCTGTGTGTGGGCTAGATGGTCTTGCTCAAGTATGAAACAAAGACGTTAATTGGTTGAGATGATGGATGTGATACTTCTCCTGGTTGACGAATACCCTACCTTTTCTAATACGGTCAGACTACCGAGTGAACGCAGACTCCCTCCTACGGTGATATCTAGGAATTCTACGCGTGGAAAGTATGGGAAGCTTCAACATCTTCCGTCTGTGGTCAAAGTGAAGGAATGATACTCGAGATGACAGTCTAGTGCGCAGATTTATTCGCGTGGGTTAGATCCAGTTCTTGAGCGGACCGCTGGTTTTCTACTCTTTGCCAGCGTCTTTCTGCTCGACGCCGGCCTCCCGAAGAGGCTGGTTTCCGATGGGTCTAGGCCCCCTTTCTGATATGGATATGGTAGCGCCTTTTGAACTGAAAACGGTCTACCTTTTGTTTAATATTCGAGTAAAATAAGTCTCTAATAGGTTGTCTTTTATCGTAAGGTTGTAGGATCGCGACGAGGGACAGCCATGAACGGATGGCGTGAGCTTTTGGAGCTTGTTGAATAGTGACTTGGTATCTCCCCCTCCCCGGCAGCAGTTTCTTTAGTGCAGTCTACCCGGATGACACTGAAAACATTTCAGTATAATTCCAAGAGTCTTCTCTCGTGATCTCTCGTGTGTCAGTGAGTTATACCTGGCACACTGCTTGTCTACAGGGATATTGCCATGTTGAACAGAGGATAAAGAGCAATGTTGAGAGTGTCAGGTTGTCACAAGCTTGAGAATCAGCTCTCCGTAGCACTTGCACTGAGGTCAAAGCAGGCTGCGGAAAGTGCGGGTCGCGAGAATCGATTAGTGTAGCATCCATTCAGACCACTGCAAATCTGCATAAGGTGAGCTAAATTAATCAGCTCTGATGCTGGGCAGATCATATGGGAAGAAGTGGCTGATCATATGGCATACTGTGTGCACCTACGCGTGAGACATATGCTATTGTTCAGACCCAAACAGAAAATGGGCCTATTTGGTTGCCGAGAGCTCGGAAGTGTACGAGAGAGGATCTGCCTTCCCTACCCAATCTGAACAGGTCAGACGGCGAAACCATGACTTTTCTTGTGAGTTTAAGTACCCATCATCTTACAAAACTTCGAACAAGAAATCATTACATAAAATATGAGCGATGACTCAGAAAAAAAGCTACCATGTGTTAGCTGCCTAGCCTCCAACACAGTCCACAATTTACGGATCGGGGATGTGCTGGCAGCATCGGAAAACAACACTTTACCTACCTTTATAGCCGTGCTCGCAATGAATTTTCCACACGTAGGAACAAGCTTTCGGGATGGTCGAAAAGTGGGCTGCAGCCTTTCAACCCAGAGAAAGTTCTTGGAGGCATCCAAAAGCCTCCCGAAGAAATAGCGCAGCTCCAGCCTGATGCCGGGGTCAATGCTCCTCACCCTTCTTCTGATGAGCCTCCTGTCACGCCCGTCGCGTTCGATGGCGTATGCCTTCTACGAAAAATCATTGAGGAGGATGTACGTAATCTAGATGTGCGTGGCAAGCTTTGCTTTCAAAAAATGCTCAACGCTACCGAAAAGGCATTTGCGGGACGTTCCCTTCTTCTTCAGCGGAACCAAGAATTATTCCAACAGAATGAGAAGGAAATCCGGCAAGTTGTGAAATCGACGGTTGTTGGCAAGGCTACGGTCATGAAGTACGAGGATATTGTTGAAGCAAAACGAAAACGGGAGGAAAAGGAGTTCTCCCGGGTGTTGAAAAAACGCAAAACACGAAGAAAAACCCCAGAACCAAGAGAGAACATCCAAGCACATGCTCCTCGGCCTATGGAGGAGTTTTGCTCTGTTCTCCAATTTTGATCAAACCAAGTCCCTCCACATTTTAGCTATTCTCTCTTCTTTCTCCTCAGCCATGGTAACATTGTGTTCGATTTTCGTGTCAACCAGTTCCCAGAAAAGGAACGTTGACCCGCCATACGTGCCACACATTGAAATATCGAAAGCGCAAGACCTCGGCATCCCTCGAAGCAAGGTACAGTCTTGACCTCGTCCGTGTTCTTCTTTGCTTATCACCATGAGCACTCTAAAATCGCAATATGAACAAATTGTTAGCAAAAGTATTTGCCTCATGGATGGTGGTCTAGCATTGATGATGCAAATTGCTCGTTCCCAGGTAGCTGCGGCAGTGGCCATCCATAGCAGATTTGAGAAAAATGCCCAGCAACGTGCCATCTCATCCCTCGAATACATTAACATTGTCCTCCTCGGTGAGGATGAAGAAATCGGTGATATATGCGAACGCGTACGCCGTATTCATGACGGGGTACAAGGGGCCGAAGGAGACGAGTCATACAGCACATCTGATTCGGAATTGCAAAATTGGGTGGCAGGGACAATCTACTGGGGATGATAGAGGTATATGAAAAAGCCTTCGGCGAGCTATCTCCAGAGTTGTCAAACTATATATACCGAAGATTTGCAAGGCTAGGAACTACACTGAATATGGAACACAATAAGTGGCCAAGCGGTAGAGCCGCATTTTGCTCGTGGTGGAACGAGCAATGCGCGTCGCTAAAATATTCTGAAACGTTAGCGGTCCTTCAGAAGGATATTCTGGACATACAGAGATCCATGCGGTGGCCTCTCAAAGCTATATTCGCCGTTGGTAAGCCTTTTTCCGAGCTTCTATGATATCAAACCTACCACCAGTGGTCAGCGAGAGGTTTGGGCTACGATCGACTGTATACACGCGAATGCTAAACGCTGTCTTGGAGTTCTTTATACGTTCGATCTACCTGTGGTTGCCTTCCCGACTGAGACATGCTCTTTGCCATCATATAATTAAATAGTATAGGTCGAAAAATCGGTTAAACCTTTCATAAGTTAGACTTGCTTCAGCTTACGACCCAGCCCTGTTGACTATATCCAGATCCGCACGTCTATTTTACGTCATCCATATTGGCGCACCATAAAGCCACGTGGCCGAGTGCACAAATTCCGTTTCCATGAACCAAGCGCGTACCACATGCGACTTTAAGCCGTAACAGACCACCCCCCGCCCCCGCACACAGTTCAGGCAGTACGGCACTAAGTCAGCCGCTGATTCAGAGTCGAGTCCTGCCTGTGTACTGACTAGTAACTACAATTCTACGTCAACTCGAGTCATCCAAAACCTTCGATCACACTGATCTTCAAGTCTCGAGAGCCTGAAGTATGAGCTTCAATTGGATATGAGTGTATATGTCTTTCTCCAATTTTCGAGCTTAAAATTATATTCAGCTGCCATCTTCCAGGTTGCCGACGATCAACAGGCTATTCAAATCAAATCTGCTTTACCCTCAAAGGTATAATCTCAGTAAGGTTTCGGGGTCTCTTACAAACAGAAAAGTCTTGCATTAGTAACCCACCCACTATATCATGGCTAATAGCGCTTCTCTACCTGTTCCGTTTTTCGAGGCTTTGATGTGAATGCCCTGACAACTTCGAACCTTGGTGGATCCCAATTATATTCACTACGTACGTCTCCTTGATGAATTGTCTTTGTTTAGGGCGTAACTTACAATTCCAGCAGGCCACTCTTGCTGGCTAGCATGATCATGTTCCAATCTCTCTAGGAGCTTTGCATTATGGACCTTAGCATTTGCTGCACTCATCACCGTTATTCTACTGTGCATGGAAATCATTCACCAAACTTGGCAAAGACCCAAGCGCCCAGAGGCTGGCTATGTAGAACGATACCTGCAGCTCCGGTATAGCGCTCAAAAACGGCGGAATAGTCCTTGGCACGAAACGTGACATCCGATGACTTACTTCATCATGGACCTTTGCAATTTCTCGTTCAAAATATTTGACTACGTCGTTTTTCTGTGGCTAGTATCGTATCCGGTAATGGGTTGTGTCGTAATATTTTTTAAGCAAGTGAATCCACCATTTCTCCGCATAGGCCCCTCGACGTCACATAGTACCAGTCAACCTTTCCGGAGAATTTTGGAATAATTTAAGAAATCGATCATAATCAGTACTCTGCCAGCTTCATTAGTTCCGCTCGTTTCTGCTTTTTATGCTGAGATTACTGTCAAATATAAGGACCCGAAGTTCACGTACAACAGGGTCGCAAATGATGAAAGGTAACAAAGAGGCCTCTTCAATATCCGGAGAGGAAAATCCGCCATCTTTCTGTCTCCATGTGAAGAGTGTAGTTCTTTGAGCTGTTTGCGGTGTTCGAGAAAAGAGAACTGTTACTGCCTTCAACTGTGGTCTCCTGCCCTTGCTCCCCCTAAGGCCCTTGATCATGAAGTATACGAATAAAATAAACCTGAGTAAAATGTTAGCAACTATTATCATTCACTTAAAACCGCAATCCTCACATTCCGTCTGCTCCGTCGCCAACCTTCTTCCGTATCTCCTCGAGAAGATCCTGAGACAAAGGTTTTTCTGTAAAATCATGCCGCTGAGAGTGTTTTGCTGAGACCTATGAACAGATATCGGAGTTGACAGCCTGCTCATTAAGCAGTAGGCAACTTTCCTCTCCTATCACAATTGGAATACGGCGCAGAAAATCGGACTCAGGTCGACTGGTATAGAGCACCTGGACATGGGCCAGCTCTGGCCTAGACAATATAAGCTCTATCCACTTGAGAATGTCATTCCTTGTTATTGATTCATCCAATGCATCCAGAACGATAAAAACCCTCCTCGGGGCTTCGAGCGTTTTGAATGAAATAGCCGAGAGCTCCTTTATCTCAGGTTGGCTTTTCCGATTCTGATGCACTTGAAATAACGCATGAAGATGAACGGCAGATCATAAAGCTGGAATATAAGCGACCTCAGCATGCTTTCATAAGTCTGCTTTTTGGTGTTACTAAAGTCAAAGAAAAATTTGAGGATAGGACCGTTGTTTCCCATCGCGAGGTGGTCAAGGACGGTAATACTGAGAATGGTCTTTCCGCTTCCCGCGAGCCTGTACAGCCACATATGTCGACATGACCCCGAATACCACGACCAGAAGATAGGGTCCTCCAGGAGCCACGCGCCTGTTCCCTCATGGTGTAGCTCTTTGGCGTGGTTGGCAATTGTAGATGGGTCGGGGGGATCAAGCCAGCTTTTGATATTATCAGTACGAAGTTCAGACTTTATAGAATCAGTCGTAGCTTTCGTTGCGACTGTTATCTGCTGTACGCAATCGATCTGTTGTTGCACTACTCTCAATCAGTATGTGACCAAGTGTAAAGACTATTAGATCTTGGGTATTTGTAGGTTGTGAAACACCTCCAGCTAGAATATTGAGGTAGGTACTAACCCTTCTCCACGATAGCTTTCGCTGGGTCCTCCGCATCAACAGCACTGGGCTGCATACATGTCAAAAGTTTCTTTTCGTATGCAGCGGCCAAGGTTGCAGCGTATTATTGCCACGTTTTCTTTTTCCCTGAGTCCGCGTAGTCACAAATGCCTCGAATGACAAGACATGGGAAGTCATTCATGAGCCCAGCGGCCTCCATCTCCACGCACAACAAGTGCCCGCCATATGCTTTGTCGAGAGAGTTGACACAGACAAGATTGAAGACCATCACTCTTCGCCGCTCTCGCCGGGCTCGAACTTCCCGAAAGCGACACACTGCGAGCCGGGCCAAGGTCCATCGTGGTAATTGATGAACCGGGCTTGACGAGCCGCTGTACGGGTGATTCTGCAGCCCGCGAGTCCATTCCGCCCGGTGTTTGGGGTGGCACATAGGACATGAGATGCTGATGTGTTTTGGACCCGTTGTTGAACTGGCTGTGAGACGAAAAGCGTACCCCGTTGGACATGGGATTTTCCACAGTGCCTTGGTTGGGGCAATGCGGGAGCTCCATATAGCGCTTTGTCGGTGGACATGCCATCATATTGTGACATAAGGGATCACTAGGCCCGGGAAGGGAGCATAATGAAATGGTCTTATGGCGAAGAGAGACCGGGCTGGGGAGAACTCTGTCGTAAACATGATATTCATATGATAGCCGCAATGGGCCACGGAATAACCGGGACACTAGAGAGAGAAACAAGGCTTTTAAATCACATCTGGGCAACACCTTGCGCCGAAAGAAAAATGAGCAAATAAGATGGGATATTTGACTGAGCAATGGTCTCGATTATGCTGATGCGTCCTCGGTGGATGTCGGAGATCAATGAAAAAGCGATCAGAGGGTGGTGGTTTACACTGGGGTACTGGACCACGAGAAAGCAAGGATGAAGGATGAAGAGTCAGAGTGACGCCACTCCGGTCAAAGGAAGATGCAGAGAAAGATCGATGTGTTTGAATTGGCTCTTTGAAACCGCTCGTTTCGATCTTGTCCTTGCGGATGGTCAGAAAGACTTGGTTCTCAAAGCCGGAAAGAGCAATTTATGGCCGAATGACACCCTACTACCCTCTCTGGGATCTGACGGGGGAGAAGCAATCTGGAGTGATTGGTTGGATGTAAAAATCACATGTCACTCGGATGGGGCCTGACTGGAAAGAGAAAGAGCGGAAGGGGAAGCAGAAGGGGGAACAAATGAAAGGCAAGCTTCAAAGCAACTATGATCCCAAGATCAGGAGGCATTGCTAGACATTCATATGATACAAAGTCCATCTCACCGGCTCCTTAAAACATTGCTACCTAGATTGAATCGAAGCTGCTATGTCCGACTTCACTTTCGGAAGCCAATTGATTGTGATTGCTGGAATCCAGTAATCGTCTTTCTCCTCAATGGTAATGGAGTTCGCATGCCTTATGGAACCAAGGGCAATCTGAAGCTGGGCATATCCGTTGGAAAGCTGGGTGAAAGCGAAAGTGAACCCATTTTCACGAAACGCAGAATATTGTTCTGGCCAATGTTTTTCACCTTTCTCCATTCAGCATTTGCTTGCCTGAATGGCGACTGCATATGGTAGAAATGTGCTGACGCGGTAAGTGTGCGGACATGGAGCAGCTGATTGCTGATATCTAAGCTCGCGGTTTCACTTGAGAATCTGGTCAGGTCGGAGAGTTTAGACCGAGTTTACGCGAGGCTTGGCTGCGACACCCTTGCAATGTAGACATCCAGTGATGTCACTCGAAGACGTCTCCATACCGTGGATAATCCATTCGTCGAGCGCAGCTTCGCCGTTTCTTCTTTGACAAGATTTTCTGCCCGTGAGAGGGGAGGTGTAATGGCAGTCTCTTTGATGAAATTCACTAGGGTGCTTGAAGGACCCTGAACCGTGATGGATATATAGGTGTGTTGTAGTTGTGACTACGCTTGTTTCTGGTCAGAAGATACCCAGCCAAGAGATCGGTTTAGTCTTTCAACGAGTCGCACGGAAATGAACAGGCCAGAAGGCCGTATTCGGCACCGAACGGTGCGTCTCGCTCGCTGAGGGATCTCCTCCATGTGTACTGTACGTTTCCTGTACCTCTCTCTTTAATTTAGAGCGACGCCCGGCAATACAAAATCGCTGGTTTCGAGAGAAGTTTTATATCATTTCGCTGCTTTGATAATACACGACCAGCCAATTCCCAATTTATCGGTCGATTGGTCCCGTCAATATTATGTTTAGTGGACAGCGTTACGAATAATAGCGCCGAGGGAAAGCCTTTGATATCCGGTTGACGCTACCGAATCAGAAAGTCTAAGAGAGATTGGGGGAGGAATATTACTGGGATTTAAGCCCTGACATTGATCCTCAGAATGTTCAAATGCCATCGCCGCCTAGGGAGAGGAGACGAGCATTCCCATTATAGCTCTAATCCCACTCCACGGATGCTCAAATAACTCACAGAGTTCTGTGATGTTGCTAATATGAGATTCCCATGTTGAACACCTGCGACTGAGATTTTGAGAGCTTTCTGTACACAATAGAAGAGTGAAAACAGGACCGGGCTCATAAGCACATTTGGGGCCACCACCAGGCCAACCATGTCATATCCATTTTCTCAACAAACATTTATCCTTCTACGCTGGCTGCCGTACTGGGAATTCGGAAGACTAATGATCAGCCTATTACTGATGCCATTGAAGCTCATCGGTATCCAAGTTGATTGAAACACGCATGATATTGCGAAAATGTGCTAGTGGACCCCGGTCCTCTTACAAGGTTGACTATCTTTAATCCACTTTTCGCTCTAAGCCTGAACAAAAAGAAAATAATCCGAAGCGCTCAAGGACATATTCTTTTCTGGTTACGGGGACCTGAGTCATTATGTTTCGAGATCGTATCGCTGTGTAAGCCCTGTCTTTCTATATTTCCCTCGGTATTTGTCGACGCCTTCTCCTGATTCCTTGGTATCCCATCCAACTTTAGTATCCATAGTGTCCATATTTTTATCTGTCGTAGGCCATTTCTTTGATCATATTGGATGACCAGCTATTAGATATTGAGGCCTAATATACGAGCCTGTAATCTCAGAAGGTCGAGGCGCGTTGCATTCCTACACAAGCGAATGTGGGACGGGCGGGGGCATGGGCCGGCATGCGCGAAACCAACTGTCTCGATAATGGATATCGTTGCAAGGACCGTGCGCTGATGCTATCGGAGTAGCCGGGTCTACAAACAAATTCTACCTACTAGTTAGTTATACATTCTCAATCGTCATTTGAAATAATGTCTTACAGTTCTCCTACAACAGGTACTTTTTAGCTTTGACTTGTAAATCTTTCTAACCCAGCATATTGCTCGAGATAATTCTGAGTCAGGATCCCAGCATGACATGAATGTCTCAGCCTGTTCCATTTGATCATGGCTGAAATATATATAGAGGTCGGCGGAGTCGAGTTGGACGATCACGCACTATCCGCTGAATTTCTTCTGTCACAGTTCAAAATTAAGTCGTCGCGGACATCATCCAACCTCTCTTAGACTGCTGATCAGAGTGCCTGCTCATATTGGTCTATGATACGTTGAATCTCTCTCAAAGGGTCTGCTTATTCATTCCATATTCAACTCTGTCGTACGATGAGTTCCTATCTTTCTGTAAGAAGAATGAATCTGGGTGAAGAAAACTCCGCATATTCTACAAAGCGGTGGGTACTTTCGCAATCCGGGAGTGGGTCTTTTGATAGGATACCCGAGGGAGAAATCGCTCCCTACGTTCATGGCAAAGCCGATGAAACATCAATACATAAAACTGTGTTGAGTAGCAAGACCCAGAAGGAGCTCAGCAAGTGGGCGTCCGCTATGATCAAACAGATTGAACCTATAAAAAGATTCATCTTTCCGTACCGCTCACGCAAAATAAAGCCTGACTCGCCCAGGCCCGGCTGGTGGCCTACGGCTGTTCCGCATAAACCGCCCAGCGCTCTTTCCAAACATGATATGCCCTCTCTTGATAAAGCTAGTCCGTTATGAGATTGTATATCGCATATCATGATGACATTGACCGTTGAGAATCAGATTGTGTCGAGCTTCTCATCCATTTGGCCCGTAGTGGTATGAACGGGACTAACGCAGACGATCTCCAGAAAGCCGTGCTGGAAACGAGACTCAACCGCACAAACCCCCGTAAGGTTAAAAGAACCAGGTGGGATCTCTTCAATGACAGTTCATGGGCGCATCAGCAAGAGGGGACTTCCAAATGCCACCATGCCTGTACGTTCGCCTAGGTTCAGAGACCGGGAGCTAATAGACAAACTACTAACAGATGGTTGGCACCTCGGATTCAGTCCATCCGGCAAGAACGCAATTTTACCCTTGTTCAGATCACAGCGAGGAGAATCTCGATCATAAACTCATCCAATCATATGAAATGAGTAACCTGGGCTCAAATAACAATGCGATTGACACAGGAGGGCCTTTTGGTGAAGCTGGGTGTCTTGAAACCCCTGCAATGGGTGACTTCACCCGTTTCAATTCAGATCCACGCGACTTCTCAACAGATTCACCCTCTACGCTACAGATCCAAGAATTCTCGGCTGGTTTGTTGACATCTCAGCTTTGCGGATCTGATCCTCACTGGCAAAGCGAAGATTACTGCGGTGATGATAGCACATCACGGTGCTATTCAGGTAATCCACATTATCCTGTGGATAGCCCTATTTCCATGCAAGATACTAGCTACCTGGCCGTGGGTTCTTCGCCTCAAGTCTACGCCGAAATGCCGATGACCCGGCAATGGCCCTCAAACTACTATGACTACTCGATTGGCTTGCATTTGGATTTGTTGTCCTGTCCATACTAGAACTTCCACACCCCTCGTTCAATCCACAAGCCGCTAATCCCGGCCTAGTATACACGATTTCAAAACACAGGTCAAGGGTTGGTTATATATTCAAATGATCATCAACCTTCAACGAGGCGAGAACAACAACAGCCCCTCTTGCGCATTATGGTACTACCCTTTTTTTTTCCGAAATCGTAAATTTTTTTTCAAAGCTACTGCCAGCTGCAATAGGATAAAACCCGTGGCGCGCTTGAGTTCACTATCAGCCTGGATTGAGGATCGTAAATACTAGCAAAGGGGAGTCTGTAATCTAGGAGGCTAGGACCTGGTCATAAACCTCGTTGAATCAATAGGAAAAAGGTAGATCAAAAGGCGACCCGGCAACAGATGTATATCTAAGTCTGATGAGGATGTCAAATGATCTTGCTATATACGGGTTTAGTGGGTGGCGGGGTTGGGCTGAGGGTACTAAGATTCACCCGCTTGAACAAATCACGTAAAAGACAAAGTCTCCTGTCCCTAGCGCAAAGATCGATACTAAAGCTTGAAGCTTCAAAGCCTCGAAGCCTCAAATCCATCTAATACTTTGTTATTAATATCATGCCAGAAGAGAAGGTTAATGAGACATGGGCGCCCATCCCTTCTCATCTGCACTCACCACCCAGTCCGCCCTATCTCAACCTCTATTCCGATTTTAAATCAAATATAGCTTCAAGGTAGATTTATCAGAGTTGCCCTCATATACCCATCTTGCTCTTGAGCTAGTCACATATGGGAGCCGATCAACGGCATCATGTCGTACCAATGGTTATTGGGTTTCATGTTCTTAATTCCATCCAGCATTTCATAAAACTGTCTAACGATAACATTCAACACCTTGAAACTTGAATGGACTATATATAGATGGGCGTCTGTGTTCATGTGGTGAACCTGACTCGATCCTCCCTGTACTACCCGTAACACACAGGGTCATTAGCATCTCACCTTCGGCACCGCGCAGCCAAGATCTTCGGTTGTAATTCGGCATTAACTCGATATCACAATAATCACAGGAAGTGGAAGACTAAAAATTATAACAGTCATAATTTGAGCAAGGGCTCGTAGACCCCCTTGAGAGAGAAACAGCTACAGCGAGCCGAACAAGAGGGAATCAAGAGAGTAATGGTTGATCACATCAGAATCCATTCAAGTCCTCTGTAGATCGATCTGTTGCACATGTCATATACAGACCTATTCGTATCTTGATCGAAGTGGCCGCTTTGATCCTTACAGAAACTATAGAGCCAAGATAGACCGTATACCATGATCTCACGAGTGAACATCCAACCGTACTCTGGAGCAAATAGATTTGAATAGGACTTTTCTTCTTTTGAATGTGAGGTTGATTGATTCCCAGAATTTTCGCTGGGTAGTGAGAATGTCCCCATAAACGTCACGTCAGTCGAGCGAGAGTAGCCTTATCCATACGCTATGCCTGAGTACGAATGGCAGATGTGCATAGCACCGTTTCTTTGTGAATAAGAAGAACGATTATGATTAATTTCGGCTTATAGCATGGTATCGCATCGCCTATCAGCCACTTTACCAACGTATTTTATCATATGAAGTTCTTTCCTCAAATCATCGTGAGTCGAATTGACTCATATGAACAGTACTCATCTTTCGATTTCTCATTTGACCATTTGCCCAGAGTGACCTTGGCTAGCTCTGAACCAATTATTTACGAGTCTATCTTCTTGGAGTCATTGACGGTCTCGCGGCAGACCGATGGAGTAAGCCCTTTCCCTTTGCAGGTTCCGCAACGACAGTTCGTATTTCCTTTTCCAAAGTAGTCTCGAGAATAGAAAATTGTAATCTCTTCAGAAGCGTAAATTCGACGACGAGACTTGATGATTCTTTCTTTTCTGTTCCGTGGTGAAGAAGCCAAAATGCAATTCGGGTCACAGTCATGATTGACGAAGCGCACGGGCCCTATTAACAGGTAACATTCATCAACGATGCTGAAATCCTTGCTACTATATTCAAAACTCCTCCTTTCAGCGTTCTTTAGCCTGAAGCAAACACCGTCAAGATATTGAATTGTCTCCCCTGCCTCCATGTCTCTGCTGGCGCTGATTCTTACTTCTGGCGTGGAAGGGTTGAACTGAAACGTATTTTCGATCTTGAAAGGGCAATATTGTCAAAACACCCTCGAGTAACGATACGCCTGTTCACAGAATAGATGCGTCTCATCTTTAGTAATAGGTCCATTACCTGTAGTCATGCGAATTTGATGCAGGAGCTGTCCAAATAGAGGCAATCCTACGGAGCTTCGTAATGTGGAGGGCTTGAATCCATTGTGAAAAATACAGGGCTGTTCAGAATTCGAGAACTTGAGTGTTCTGACATTGATACACTTTTTTCGCATTCAGTATAGACAACAAACGATCGGTCAATATTGATATTGGCAGACAAACCTGATCTATTAATGAATGGGTAAGGAAATCGTCCCATTGGGCCACATGTTCAGGAAAAATACAATTCCCCTTTTTGAACTGTTCCAGAGGGGTTTTCTGTATATTTATGGACTTTCTTCGCATGACTCTTGAGCTTCTCTGCATTATTCAGGCTAGTTTGGCGATAGGAGGGGCTGGGAATCACATTCTGATGAGGATACAGGACAATATATCTACATTGAGTCAATACAGAGCACCCTTAGCCCAAGCCAATGAGGATAGTTTCGGGCACCTTTTCAACACTAATTGACACAATTTCAGGTTATGTTCAAATTAGTTTCGGGATCTGCTTTATTGATTTCGGAAGCTCTTGACTCATTCTGTAGGGTATGATTGACTATTCTTGTTGATCCATACGGCAGGAAGTCTAATTTTAGTAGGCTAGGATATCCCCCTGATTCTATTAATATTCTGGCACCATTTGAGAGGGACATCCGGTGAACTCCAGTCCTATGGCGCAACGCAAATTGATGATGTTCGTATTTTGAACGTAATCAAGTGCAATACCCCGGTGGATCCGTCTTGGTGCTTAAAGTAAATCAATGTTAAAATCACTATTATATATTATGAAGGTTACTTGATTTAGATTGAAGCCATGTTCGATTATGGCAGGTGGCAGGCCATATGATATGACTTTATGGACGCTGTATCGATGATACTGCCACTCTCAGCGCGCAGGACATGAGTTCAAGACAAATATGAGAAGTAGATTCTCATTGCATACTTCCGGACTTTTGTGTTGGCGCTAGCTGCCGAGGTAAACGATAAGCAATCCGACCTTTCACTGCGCACCGCACACCGCACACCTCTCGGGCGGCCTCTGGACTCACTCTACTGATCAGATTGGTCAAGTCATGTTGCACCAAAATTTTGAAAGATGAAGAAGCCACAATCTATCTTAAGAGGATATCATCCGGTCTTCCTAGATACGAGATCAGCCTACAGAATCAAAAACTCTCAATGCCTGTACACCGACTTGCTGTGACACTTCTCACTTACGACTCTTCGCTTCGGGCGGGTTTGGGGGAAAATGTCCAGTCATTAGTCCGAGCCTGAGAGTCGATCAGAATCCTTTTGCAGCGGTTCCGGACGGCCTTGCTTGCCACGATTTTAGTCAAGTGACCGAGTCTCTTGCATCACGTAACGCGTTGTTGGCCCGAGCAAAAGACACCGGCCCCTGGCCATGACTTCTACTTTTAAGCTGCCTTCTTTCTCCTTGTCTACCTGCTTGACAGTGTTCTGGGGTTATTGGAAAGGTGCACACCGTCAGGCTGAGAAGATCACCATTTACGATACCATTTTCTCGATCGGTTTCTTTGCTTTCCACTTCATTATGTGGATCATTGCGACGTCCATTGATCCAAATAACAAAGTAACGAGTAACGGGGAAGACATATGGGACTGGTTCTGCACCGCAAACACTTGGAAACAGCTTCTCTCTCACACCATCAGTTGCACCCGATTGTGCCGTCTGCAGGTTCGTACAGTTCCCGAAGCTACGAGAACATTTGACTAACGACATTCATAGAAACGGGACTCTTTTTCGATTGCTATTGGCATTGTTATTAATCTCGTGGTTCTGCTCGTCTACGGCATTGGCGCATACGGTGTCTAGTTCGAACGGCGCCTCCTGGGGGCCGTGAATGGTCGCGGCCAGGTCTGTTCTGATCTTGACTTACAGTCCGCAACCAACGGTCCTGCGTTCTCTAGCCACACGAGCGATCCAGGCAAGTCGCCGTATACCGTTTCTATTGACCCTTTGCCTGCAGCAGAAAAGGGCCAAGCGGAGCCGTTTACGATTCAGTTTGCCTCGTTGCGTTTGCCCACACGACCAATTTCCTCGTTTCAGGGCAGGCCCCTGATCGCCGTCATCAGTCAATTGCTGAGTCGCAACAAGGCAGATCAGCGTCGGTATCAGTACCCAGGCCGAGCACTTCACCTACCCGAAACGAGGCGCAGCGCGTGCCTGCGGCCCCCGGTGAGGTCATCTACGGTACTGTGCCCATTCCAGACGCTTACACGAGTCCCATAATTCCTGCCTTCCTACCTGCAGTGCATCTATGAGCTTGTGGCTTCAATAACGTATACTTCCCCGCTACAATACCTACTATGTCTGCCCTTCTCCAGGTCAGACTTAGAGAGGCCTAGAAAACACATTATTCGCAGATAGTCTAGGAAAACAAAGCAATTAGCTACTTGATATAGCTCTCCTCTCAAGGGAATAGAAGAGGTATAGGGCTATCAGAGAGTTCAAATACTTTCATTCACATTCTAAAGCAAACCCTAAGATGAAGGTAAGTATCTTACCTAGCTTGCAACTTCAGGCTTGTAGTATTTCTTCCTCGAACGAATCGGACTTTTGGAAGTGCCAAACTTGATGCACAGGTATCCCTAATAACAGTCTGCTGTGGCTGGGTTCTTGTCCATAATCCAAGTAATTCCATAGGTCACTCGTCAGATATCTATCGAAGAGGACCAATTCTTGGTCCACTTCCAAACGCAGAGAGAATACTGTAGGTCCGTTTGGGAAATTTCAGTACAAGAGGATTGTCCGGAGAAAGAGGAAATACCAAAAGCATTACAGACATGATTAATCATTATGTTGCTGGAGACAGAGTGCATGAGCTGTTGTTTATTCATGATATCAAAATTTGGACACTCTTGACACCTGTAGCAATCAGGGAAGTAAGGATTTAAACCCGCTCCATTCTGGAAATTGTATTCTCGTTGACGCAGGCGCGTAGAAACGTTTATAGTCGCACCTGGCGATGCAATCTATGCCAGAGGATGAATAAAACGAGGACGATGGATGTAGACTGTCAAGCTAGAGCGCAACAAGTAATTCCGTTACCTAACAAAGCACCTTTTAGTCGAATGGCTCTTTCTATTTAAGCAATACAAATATAGAGCTTTATTTGAACACCTCCTCGCCTATAGCTTAGCTTGAAGAGCCAACAGCCATCTAGGCTGTCTTAACGGCAAAGCTTTGCTAGTGAGCTAGTGAGTGTTACGTGCCAAGAAGTCTCGAGAAGGTTTCAAGAAAATTATACATTTGATGATCTCAAGTTTGAAGTGAAAAAAGATAGAAAAGAAGTAGAAAAAGCAAAGTTTAGCACAAGGTCTTGTGGTCTATCTCCTAGAGTTGATCGAATCGACACCTGTTTCCATTGCCTCTGCCAGAGCTCAGCGGTCCCTTGATGAAGAGAGGCACTGATACATCATCGCATCTCCATAGCATGGCCATTTCCTAATTGATATCATCTTTTCGGTGCAATGGATTAAAGCCTTATCATATGTTGTCATCAGCACATCCTTCTAACTCTTCATGCTAATCAACGCTATTTTCCAGTCCAGATTACAAAAGCGGGAACTCCGTGGTTTTTCTTGGCTTCAAGTATCTTTTTCCAATGCCAACAGTATGTTCAAAACAAACTTTTTCTCACACTGCATGTGAACTAGTCATGAAGATCAAAGGATAATGATTATGACAGTAACGGATATAAGTGATCAGTAGACAAAGCACCAGCGAATCTGTCCTTTGACACTAATATTGCGAATGTGAATCGAGGAGTCACCCTAATTCTCTTTATCATAACTGACATTCCTCTCACCTGCTTGGTCCAGTCTACGTAATACTATAGTGTGAGCCTATCACTTGTGTCTGCGAGTGTTTGTTTTCCATTATCTTGACCAACCTTTTAAACCTTTTGGAAGAGCTTGTGGGTCCGATCAGGGTCAGTCAGACAACGAATGTTCAGCCTCCTCGCAAATCTTACAGACAAAGGGTATATTGATCACTGTTTATGGATTTGGGGAAACATTTGAGTATATCCACGCTTTTCTCCGCCATAACGCATTTTAATTCGCGGATTTTTCTGGCCTCAAAAATCCGTCTTCCCGACAAGTGGGTCCCAGAACTCCCGGTCCACTACGGTCTACCTCGATAGGTTTCCGACATGTTGCCTTCCCAGAAGTATTGTGGCCATCATTGTTTGTTTTGCAATTGATGGCAATATCAAGAGGCCATGTCTTGCTAGAATGTCTGAAACCCTGCGAACCGGGGCGTCTGTAACTCGGATATGACCCTTTCATCTTTTACACTATAAAAACTACATCGCATAGAGTGGAATGGTCATCGTAGACTTTGTCATTTACGTCGGTGAACTCATCTTCTTAGTTGGAGTTTCTGACGTATGGTTTCTTTCCAAGATAGTGCGAACTGCGTTCGTACTTTTCTGAGTATAGACTGAAACACTTCAGGATTGGTTTCGACTTTACGAATAGCTGATAGAAAGAACGTGCGGGGTGCGCGCCAAACGTGAGTTGTAGAAATAGGGTTATTAGAACTACGAGAGTGAACTAACTTAATGAATTCAGATTCGCGAGGGAAATGAATCAAGCTCACAATCCCTGCTAAATATCATTCTTCGGAGAGTCTAAGCGTCTTTCGTGTGTGTCTGAGCGGTGTCAAAAGGCTTTCGCTCTTGAGATGAACATCCACAATAAGGGCATATGGTTGTGATAAAAAATCTTCCTTCCACACGGACATAGCGGTTAGCATCCTCATTGGCTGAATCATCGACCACTGGCTTCTTCTCCGGCTTCCCGCCACGGGTATGTGGCTTAAGCTTTCGGGACTTCCCAATGTTGTCGTTTTCATCGGTAGCCTTCTTAGCAAGAGCAGTCATTTTGGTTCTCTCGCCAGCTTCAGCCTCACTGGACTGGGAATATTCGTCCGCCTTGTGCCAGGTGTTAGCCCCGGAAGTATGAAGCAAAAATAGGTTCGCAGAAAGTGACCCACGTCTTTCTTAGCACGCGCCTTCTTCTTAGAAAGACGGAAGCCTCGCTTGCCTGGCCGATTGCACTCAACATCCTACATGCGTATGTCAGTGAAGTGGTAGAATTGAATATCACAAAGGCATAAAGCTGCTTTCTTCGTAAAGTCAGGGGAAGAAAGTGCACGTACGCCTTTCCAGTCCTCATCTGGAATGTGGCGTTCCGTGAGGGCTTTGCGGACAGCGTCTTGTTGGGTCTTGGACAAACCCTTCCAGCCAACGATGCGGTCAAAATCTTCATCACCTTTCAATTCTTCCTTTCCGAACAAGTTCTTGATCATATTAGCGAGAACAAGGGGAGTGGTGCAGCCCCTATGAATTGTCAGATCCACGATAGGCGCAAGATGCACTTAGAAGACTTACCAGTGCCGCCACCGCCAGCTTTTAAATTTTTCGACCCAGGTGCCGACACGGATTTCGCCTTTTGTAATCTCAATATTATGGTCTCGGCACTCCTTGTTGTGACAACCAGCGGAGTCTGGTGAAACCTCTGCGAGCAGAACCAAAAGTGTCAGTACAGGCAAGCGAGTCCCAATGGAACTATTTAGTCAATAGGAGTCACGCTGCCACAGAATAGTGCCTCGTAATCTTTCATATTTCAGAAAAGGGACACATGGTAGCAAAAACCACTCGGGTTATGGTAACGCGATTCAGCGTTGCGCGTCCTCGCGCGTGTCGGTGCATCAACCTCGCATCGCGGCATTGAATATCAACATTGTATCGTGCCATTTTGGTCTGATGCTGACACGAACCTATTAAGTTTTTGAAATTAAATCATGAGCAGGACCTACCAATGGAATAAGGCATGATGACGGTGAAGCCCTCACTAAGGCAGGTACTTCCTTATGAGACGGATGACGGAAGCGCCGCGAAGAGATTCAGGGAACCGTGTAATATTATCTCAGAAGAGACCTTCAAACAGTCAGTCAAACTCAATAGAAAGACCTGATAGACGATAGGGTAATGAGAGAAGGTTGGATATAGAAAAGAGAAAAACGGGTCAATGTAAAGATAAACTCGGAATGGAAAGGATAGCAAGTAGAGCGAGCGATAGGACAACAGTTTCATGCATAGAAGTCTTTAAATATGATTTTTCAATATTTGCTATTTCTGTAACGGATGATTCTAAATGTATAAGATATTGGTCATATTTATAGCATACAGGCCGTAATTATTGAATTTGGGTCATGTTCAAACTCTTCCGACTTACAATATATTCTATTTTTACTACTCATACTGTACATTACTCCTCAAGTCCGACCTTGAGCTTTTGTCATTGTGAAAGCCTTGCTGGATAAATGGCTGGTATTGCAGGCCACATGTGCAGAGGAAATCAACTGGGAGACTCTGACTTGAGAACCCCCGGTTCTCCTCCTATCCACTACGTACACCTACCATATGATCAATCTTCCTCTCGGGATCACGACATAACGAAATTCCGTCAAATGGTCACAAGGGTTATGCTTTCGGATTTAAGTGATCGGAATGACAGGGGTTATGATCTACGCCCCCTTCTTTCGTCTTTGCCTTAGCTCAGTTTTCTTCTCGTGCTTGAAACAAAGAGAATGTGAAAATAAACTCTATCACTGGGTGTCCATTTTCACTATTGATTAGTTTAGCACTTAGCTAGGCATCTTGCTAAGTCATTTCATCTTTTAAGCGCGAAATATCTTCTCCACAGAAAAATCCATCCGGCAGTCCTTACCACACCTTTGAACTATCCCACCTTCCCCCGATAGCATGGTAGAATATCCTTAGCGGCCAAAGTTCTACCCTACACTATGATGGTAGAGAAAACAAGAATACCGAGAGAGGGAAAAGCCAAGATTTTCATGCTAATAGCAACTCTAATTTTAAGGACATGAGCACCTCGCATAATAGCAGTCAGAATATTGTGGGGTATGGTAAAGAAAGAGTTAATACTGCGCCCGTATGAGTTAAACGTATTGGGTTTGGCCCCGTAGTCCAGGATGAGTTTGACCATTATGATATGTCCACCTTGAATGGCTCAGAACAGAGGCCCTGCTTCCGCTGTGAACCCTGGTAGAGGATTCGGGCTGGCATCCCATTACAGAAAAAGTTGCACAGCTCGATAGTGACTATTTGCGGCTGCTCTACATAAAGACCAAGGAGCTGTAATCGCTGCTTTTGCTGGAAAGATAATGGGCGCATCGAATCGTACATACCGCAGAAGAAGTAGGAACGAAGTGAAGTTGGATGTCTGTGTTCAACAGAAACAAAGAAATCTTCAAATTCGCTCTTAATTATACGTGTTATTATATACGGGAAAGGTAGGTTCCAAGCCCACAAAATCGGAAATGTCAAGTTCCAGTCAGAGTCATGTACTGAAAGACATGGGGATCTTTCCGTCTCCTTGAGTTAGGTTGCTCAACTGGGTATTAGGTTTCGGGAACCAAGTTGACGACTAAACGGCCTGTTTGCTAAGAGAATGGAATCTGGTTTGTAGTATTCTCGGCTCATAACAAGAGCAAAACAGCACCCCGGCGCTTGATCTGTGAAAGACGAAGCTCCATACACAATACACCTTACGAAACGTGCTATCATTTACCTAGCAGGTCTTCATTGCTGATATGAATACTCTAATGGAGTATACTTCAGTGTATTGATCGTACTCTGGTTTGAGGTGCTCGGCGTCATTCTTCCATTGCCTCGGCTAGGTGACCTTCCTGCTTAATTCGCTGGTTCTGACCCCATCTTGGCCGCCTTGCTCAAATTGACCAGCCTTCCGTGCTCCTCAGATGTTTGAAATTGATTACATATGGCCACAAGTTTCACGTGTGAGGGTTGACCTTTTTGATCGGGAACAGTGAAAAGCTCCCTGAGCCCTTGGTGCCCTTTCGTGTCCGGATTAAGCTGTGATCAGAGCGTGATGTTCGGACCTTGCTTCGAATGTCTCTGGTATACTTGCTGTGGGAAGACAAGATAGTATCTTCAAAGTCCGTCAAAATTCCTGTTCTCTGATGGGGTCCGGCCGGCTGGTCGTTGCAGGATGGCAGCTCCTGACTTCTTCCAGGAGACCAACTTTTGAATTCAAAAATCCGCTTTGACCGATAATATTCCCGTTTCAATATAGTTTAAGCTTAATTGGGGTCAATGGCCGAGGATGAAGTTGATAGCATGGTTGGTTTTGCGTTTCGCAAGGTTTGAGTATGAAGGTAGGTATCTTCAAGGGTATTCGGACCCTACAGCTTAAAAATCATTAGGTCAAGGTTATCAAAATGTGAAAGCTTTCATTCATCTCTTGACTCGCTATAGCCTACTTCGCTTTCACAAACAGAGAATTTCAAACGCTTGAGACTGACTTGCATTGAATCATATCAAGTCGGCGCGAGTCGGCCACTCCATCACCTTCACTCCATAAGCCTATGATATCCATTCAAGTAAAATCGATCGATATCGATCGCATATAGTCTGATTTTCGGACCACCGCAAAAAAAGCCTTCCCAAGGAGCTTGAGCCGTGCGAGACAGGTCCAAATGCTAACAAGGATAGTAATGTGCGTCCGAATTGAAGGCAACGTTTGTCCAGTCATTGACATGGCTTGAGGGCCACTGTTCGAGCGACAGCATGTCAGCGTACATCTGTGGTGAGGAGTCCATAGATGCATAGCTATACTGTGTTAAGACTAAGGTGTTTATCGAGTAATACGCAATCTCTGCGTGTTGTTGAACTATACCGCAGTTACTGCCATAATTTTGGTTTTGCCAACGGGGATCAGAAACCATAAGCTGCATTGTCGGTAAGCCAGCTGGGACAGCTTGTGGTACCGAGGGAGGGTCCGAAGAATAATCGCTTGTGTCCGAAGTGAGAATGGTCTCGTTAGGCGTCCTAGTAGCTCTGAGATATCTGGTATGACCAAGAGTCCCCAGAGTATTCTCGGTGTCGGCTACCATGAGCTCTGTGCCTAGGCCATCTTCTACCACTGATTTGGCAGGTTTGTAATTTGAATTTACCTCGCCGTCCTGTAGGTCATGAGATCCGTTGATATCACCCGAGAAGTCTGAATCTTTACCTGCTACCTAATTATTAGCGAACTCTGACATTGGAATAGGTAGCAGCGATTCTTTCCACTTCGGCATACAGGCATAGCAGCATTCGGAAGTCTGTACTTGATCAAACGTCCATAGCACGTCATACAAAAGATAGCACGTCATACAAAAGACTCCATTCGGTCTTTTCAAGCTTTCGAGGATTTTTGCTGTCAAAATTCTCCATTCCCAAAACAGCTCTTTCGAGATCTGTTGGATCAAGTCCGTTGACGCGACTACGAGCTATGTGAATGATGAGCTCGACGCAATCTGAGTTTCCAGCGGTCATGATCGATTATTATTTTGAACTCCACACACAATTGCCATCGTCCTAGAGACACATACCGTGTTTCGACGGAGCGCTAGGCACTTTGTGCGGAATACATGCCGGCCACCATTTAGGCTTCGGTGAGTTTGGCTTCATGTTCCGTGAGTGGTAGGGGAAGGCAGATCTTTTCGTCGGATCAACTTGTCTGATCAAACCTGCAGCCCACTTCCTGAGAACCTTCTAAGTGGTGCCATTCAACACTGATTTACAGTATGAAAGCACATCAGCTTCAGAACAACCCCGAGGACTGCACTTTCCTTCGGATCGATCTTCACCGAATCCCTCTTCATACGAGGATTGCGAAAGCACCCATTGCTCCGTTGGATCGTTAGACTTTGTATGTGTTCATCATATGTAAGCGATATGTCTTAAATTGCATTGAGTAGGAAAAGCTTACTGTTTCCTGGTAACCTCGAGCCAGGCCCTCCCTTCCCATACCAAGAAGAGAACTCATTACATAAGAAAGCTGATATCCATATAAGCATAAAACTTCCGCTGAAAGACAGAGCTCGGCAAAGAGAGCTCGGCAAGCCGCACTTGAATATCTGTCAACTGCTTACTAGCAGTCGTGCAGGGTAGAAAGGGTGATTTAAAACCGGCTTGATAGAACAAGTTTGTCTGATGCCGTAAATTCACCACGGATCAGACCCGGTCGAGTATTATTTAAAGTCCTGTTGTCAGCGGTCAGAGAAGCTTTAGAATAGACCGGAACTTCGTCTCGTGCCGGAATACTGACTCAGAATCGTGTCAAGTACACTTACCCAGATATTCCATCAATCACAGCATGCTTTGGGAGAGATTGTGGGGCGATCTGAGAGTAGCTAACAGGCGCCGTATATTCTAATCATCAGATAAAAATCATGCTGACCTGTGCTCTAATTGCGCTCCGCTTTCGGGGTTCCAGTGGCGGGAGGGTGTGAAGGCTAAAGCCGATCGAGCTATACTTTAACTTATAAAACTCTGGCCGAGCATTCGACATCAATGTCCCCCTCCAAGATTGGCATTTTAAAGCATCAAACAGTAGCTTTCAATACTTGGTCAATATGCCAAACACAAAGAAAACCTCGATATGGGAGCGTTACCCTTCTCACTTGCGACCCCTACCTCCACCGGCCCCTGCTTTATCCAAGGAGCATTCTGAGCCTGAAACAACTGATATTCCAAAGGAGAAGAAGAAACATGGATTTCTTTCTACATTTATTTCCAATTTGTGTTGTGCTAAGCTCAGTTCTTCTCAAGCACCCTGAGAGAATAGGTAAGCGTTCTGACCTATTTTCCACGCCGTCTTGTGACTCAAGTTGCGTATTAACGTACTATCTTGTCTGAAGTCTCACTTGAAGGAACAAGAGCTC